GGGGGGGTTCTTCAGCTGTAGAGTTGAGGGTTTGGTCTTCGGGAAAAACTGACTCATTTTTCTCTCTTCTTCCTGCTGGGGTCTGCTTCTTCTTTCCTGTCGTCCTGATCTCTCCTCCTTTTTTTCGTTTGTTACTCTCTTGTAACACCTCTCATCTTTGGCACTTCTGTGATGACCTAATTGTGTTGCAAAGATCTACACTTAGCCTTCTCGGACAAGGGCGAAAAATCTCGGAGGTCCCCTGTGCAAGTTGCGCGCGTTGAAGATCTCTTGGTGGTCTAAAATCGATAAAAGAATAGGCTTCGGCCGCCACTCTGGCATATGACCTTATGCATTTGTGAGCGCTGTAGAACACCCAAAAAACCCCCCAAAAACCTCTCAGTACTCTCACCCCACATGCACTCACTGTACTCGCACTCCACGTGTACTCACACTACACTCTGTACTCACAGTACTCACACTACACTCTGTACTCTCAGTACCCACACTACACCTGTACTCACAGTACTCACACTCCACTCTGTACTTCCAGTGAGTTATTGTATGTACTCACACACTTTGCCGTGTACTCTGTTCTATTTTATGTACTCACACACTTTGCCGTGTACTCTGTTCTATTGTATGTACTCGCACACTTTGCCGTGTACTCTGTTCTATTGTATGTACTCACACACTTTGCCGTGTACTCTGTTCTATTGTATGTACTCGCACACTTTGCCGTGTACTCTGTTCTATTGTATGTACTCACACACTTTGCCGTGTACTCTGTTCTATTGTATGTACTCACACACTTTGCCGTGTACTCTGTACTTCCAGTGAGTTCGGCCACCAGGACCCGGTGAGCGGCAGTGACCTTGACCTACGTTTGGCTGATGCTGTGCTGCGCGAGTTTGAGACACACAGGTAACGCTTCTATGACACACACGGGTAACGCTTCTTTGACACACACAGGTAACGCTTCTTTGACTCGGGTAACGCTTCTTTGATACAGGTAATGTTAATTTGACACAGGTAACGTTAATTTGACACCGTTAATTTGACACAGGTAACGTTAATTTGACACCGTTAATTTGACACAGGTAATGTTAATTTGACACCGTTAATTTGACACAGGTAACGTTAATTTGACACACACAGGTGGGGTTCTTTTGACACAGGTAACGCTTTTTTGACACACACAGGTAACGCTTCTTTGACACACACAGGTAATGGTTCTTTTGACACACACAGGTAGGGTTCTTTTGAGACACACAGATTATAACGGTTCTTTTGACGCACACTGGTAACGGTTCTTTTGAGACACACAGGTAAAAGTTGTGGACCTCAAAACATCCCAGTTTTTATATATCTGATCCATGGTAGTAGTAGTGCTGTTTGATGCCGTGTGTGTCTGTCAGTCTGTCTGTCAGTCTGTCTGTATGTCTGTCTGTGTGTCCCCAGGTTTGACTCGGTAAGGTGGAAGAACACGACATAGTGGTCAGTCTGTCTGTCTGTCTGTCAGTCTGTCAGTCTGTATGTCTGTCTGTCTGTGGGTGTGTCTGTCTGTCTGTGTGTCTGTCTGTCAGTCTGTATGTCTGTCTGTGTGTCCCCAGGTTTGACTCAGTGGAGGTGGAAGAGCACGAGATAGTGGTCAGTCTGGCTCACCCGACCCGGCCCAACTGTCTACAACTGCTCACTGCCAACGGCACCAGGCTGCACCGAGCTGACCTCGTGACCCCGCGCCCTTCACCTGACCCCGTGACCCCCGTGACCCCGGTGACCCCCGTGACCCCGGCAGACGACAGAGTGACCCCACCAGCAAGGGAAGGGGAGACAACCACGGAGCACTGGCGACACCCACACGTAGCCTTCTCTCCCCCGGGTCATGTACAGGTGGGTAGGTGGGTGGTTGGCGGTTGCTCTGGTGTGGTTTGCTTCTTCTCTCCTTTTAAATTTGTATCGTCCTTATCTCCCCTTCTCTTTTATGTTTGTTACTCTCTTGTAACACCTCTAATCTTCTGGCGCTCATATGACCTACCCCCCGGGGGGGTGCCACTGACTGTAGTGTCTTTAGGCCATTCCCAAAGGGAGGATCTTTCTCGTTCAAGCACAGTAGAATTGTAAATGGGCTGATTCATCATGTCATGCTCATAACTGTGCCTGATCTACAACAGGGAACTGCTGCTTTTTCTTTCCTAATCCTTACTATTGTCATTTCCCTCTACTTCTTTTGTATGTTTGTCACTCTCTTGTGAACTGCTATTTCCGGGGTGCCTTGATAGTCGAAGCAGACTTTGTGCTGTTGAAGCTAGAGAGGTGAGCAGAGTAAGCCTGATTCCCTGTAAAGACTTCCCTGCTGACACCCACCCCTTGGCGCTCATATGACCATATGCAGTTGCGAGCGCCGTAAAACCCTCTACTATAAAAAAAAAGTCATATGACTTTATGCAGTTGCGAGCACTGTAAAACCTCTACTAAAATAAAGCAGGTTGGTAGTTCTTTACAACAACAGCAGCAGCAACAATAAAATAAAAACAACTACAAAAAACCACAGCAATCAAATCTGTACACTGTTTCAGCGCCCCTGTGCTAAGCATTGGGTCATTTTGGACATTGAGGGTGCCACCACCCTCTTATTCCTTCCCTCCTCCCTCCCCTCCTCCCTCCCCTCCTCCCTCCTTTCCCTCTCCCTCCAAAATATCAATAGAAATATATGGTTTAATATAGAATGTACCTGCAGAAATTCATGAGGAAATCTTCCTAACTAAACAAGTTCTGTGAGGTAGAGTGGGGTCCCCCCTCAGCAGCCTTGGGTCATGGGATCTCTCGGCATAGAGGCCTGTTTGCTTGGGGTGAAAGTAGTACATACAGCTTGATGTACAGTGGCTGGATGAAATTGTTGATTATTATCAGTGTTATTATTATTATCATTATTATTGTTGTTGCTGTTGTTGTTGTTGTTGCTGTACTGTGTGCGTTGTTTCGCCGGCAGGGTGGCGTGGTGTACGGTCACTTTGGGCGGCCGGAGGATGTTCAGATGGTCAAGGCGCTGGGTGTTGACCTACAGGACAAGGTGGTGCTACTGAGGCTGGGGAAACTGTCGGTGGCCGAGAAGGTAAACTGTTGCTGTGTGTTGTGTCGTGTCGTGTTGTGTCATGTTGTGTCTTTGTCTGTGTGTCACTTGGGAAACTGTCGGTGGCCGAGAAGGTAAGCTGTCACTGTAGATTGTGTCAGGTTGTGTCATTGTGTGTCATGATTCAATAGCAGATATCTTGAGTGTGTCAGTGTGTTGTGTCTCAGTCAGTGTGTCAGTGTGTCTGTGTGTCAGTGAGTTGAGTGGTGTCTTCGAGTGTGTCTGTGTGTCAGTGTGTCATGTTGTGTCTTTGAGTGTGTCAGTGTGTTGTGTCTCAGTCAGTGTGTCAGTGTGTTGTGTCTCAATCACTGTGTCAGTGTGTCGTGTTGATTTGCCCGCAGATACAGTTGTTGATTTGTGTCTGCTCTAAGACAAGACCGGTCTCAGATTCCTGTGACGTGGGGGGGGG